ACAACTCAACACAGCTGTGCTTCTTTGAGGTGTTCACCTAATGACTCAGAGTAACTTCAGCATAGGAGGGTTAATGACTCTAAAATTGCCATTAACAATTTGGGTTTTTTAGGTGGGGGGGTTGTAGCTTTCCTAATTTGAATGCACGATGAAGCTTTGCAAGGTACCGGTTTATGTTGATTGTATTGAGACCACCGTTTGCATGTACAGCTGCTGTTGAAAACAATTTGCAAGTTCTATTTTAGAATCATGTTCCCTGAACTTTTGAACGATTCTAGTGTTCCAAATACCTGTATAAAACGTGTCATTTGGTTAAACCACCTGTGCCCAGATGGGTGATTCATGTGCTGTGAACTGTGATGCAGGTAATGCTCATTTCATTGATATGAAATTTTATGAGCAGAATAGTAACAATTTTGTCAGACATACCGTGTTAATTTTGTTTGTCACTCTCCATGAATGCATTCACAAATTTAAATGAAAAACACAGAGCAGTAAATGATGATTCAGTAATTTTTATTCGACACTTTGGGAAATCTAAGGTAAAACAATTGCTTTGGTTCAAATTGTTTATAAACAATAAGTTTTTGTTTCAATTAACTAAATTTGTAGAGATAAAAAGTTGAATTACAATACTGGCCATACATACTGAACACATGACTTGATGTGACATGGATTTTTTTGTTTCAATAAAAGGACACAAAATAGAGCATGAAACTGCAGTTAATTTAAAAAGTGTAGAATCCGCCCTGAGCTGAAGTGCACCCTCAATCGGCGAAAGAAAGACAGGTGGTTACAAACGGGTTCTTGTACACATTCTGTGTGTACGCTTTGACCATACATTCCAGAATAAATTCGTTGCGTGTACTTGTGCTCCGTGACAAATGCACACACACATGTACTTGTGCACCTATGTGGTGAGTTGGTACAAAAAGGACCATCAATTTCATTTACAAACACGCCCTCTGTTGTTCATTTTGGAGTGGATAACCTGACGTAAAATTGATTGCAAACATTTTGTCTGTACATTATAGTTCACTAAAAGTACATTTGTAAATACTCTTGAAATTTGTCATTATACCTGAGAGACAACTTTGAAACCTTTTACCTGATTTAGTACAATACTACTGGCAAGAGTCAACCAGCCTTCAAAAGAGGAAGCAACTACTTTTAAAAATCCTCACAGAAAAATAAAATGTTATTGAAAATGCAACCTTCATCTCAAGGCAACATTAACATTGTTCTGTTTGAAAGACCTGATGAAATATAAAATTTCAAGGTAAAATCGAAAGGTACAAATAAGAACTTCCTCACCCAAAAGGGTGATATTCAACATTACACATTGCAACACACCAACCCTTCCTTCAAAAGTTGTAAGAAATATTCCCAGCCTGGAACTTATCGCTACATAGTAAAACAGAAAGGTGTAATAGATGTACCCCACTCAAAATATTGACCTACAAAGCATACTTTAAGGTGCCATCTCCAAAACCTGGTTAAATCAACTACATGTAATATATAAGTTTACATCATTGCTATTACCACATAGCACTAATTGCAATTCCAGCTTAATACATTTCCACCACTTTTCCCCTCATGTCTTTACTGACCAAATCTGGCTTGTCTTTGTGTTCCTTCAAAGCCTCTTGGAAGTATTCGATACTTTCTAGGAATTTCATCAGCGTCTCCATATATTCATCTCGATGTTTATACATGTGACTAACGTGAGGCGAGTCTTGAAATGCTTTGCTGTAAACGTTCTTGTAACCCATCTTGTTTTGGAGCGAGGCGATTGCTCGTTGGCTAGCATCTGCAGTTGCTACCAGGTCGGTGTGAGAATAAAAGAAGAGCGAGGGGGCAGGGACAGGGTTGTGAAAGAAGACTTCAGAGCTCTTAAGATAATGCTGAGTGACGGGTCGGTACATGAGACGAAGGTAGGAATCCAGGCTCACATGCATGGTTTTCTGCAAGATGGGATTCTTCAATAATGCCTATTCAAAATAGAAAGAGAAGAACATTAAGATAGTAGAAATGAGATACGTTCCCTGTGGTCCAAGGCAGGTTATACATGCCTGTCTGTACATCTTCCTTCATTCAAAATCAAAAGGTGCTTTGGCAAGGAACCTTTCTGAATCTTTCAGTGTAAATCTTGAAATGGGTGTTAAGTCTGAGGTAAAGAAACTGTGGCGGGGCTATAGAGGGATTGCATGGCTGCCATCTTGCAGGCCAGTGCTTAATTTGTTCCACAGGGTATAAACAAGGAAGCTTCCCTGTGGAATAAAAGAAGTGTCCTAGGAGATGGCAACCACACAAATCCTCTAAATCTGCCTTTGTGTAATCGTTTAAATTCTACAAGTGGATTTGAGAATTTCTGGGTCGGTAAGAAATAATGATCAACGGATTAAATACCTTCATTTAAATTTACCTTTGACATCCCAATTGGGACTTCATTGAAATCCACAGGGCTGTCATAGATTTGTCCAATGATTCGGCTTGTGATTTCTTTATTGTCTGACTGAGATGCCAACATCTGCTGAAGAATCTCGCTATATTGGTAGCCACCAACTGAGAAGCTGTGGACAAGGATCTTACGGTTGCGGATATCCTCACGCTGTAAGAACTCCACAACATCTTTAGCAATGACCTGTGATCCCCTGGTTGGCATCATTATCTACAAACCAGAGTTTGATTACATTGAAAACTTCTTCCAAATGGTATTCTGATCTTCAACAAAAATCTGGGGGAAAAATGTCAACTAATATGAACAAAATTCATATAATAGGAATGTTTACCACACGACCTGCAATTTTGATTGGTTTTAAAATATACAGTTAAAATATTTTCCTTTCAAGGGGAAATTATGGTCTTCCATGTACATGTACCTGCAAGGGGCGTATTCGTACTGTCAACACATCACAGCCTCGACTTGTGTAAAATGATACAAAGTTGTCCAGATGTCGTTGTTTAGCCAACAGCCAGCTCAATAAGAGCACAAGAGGGCGCTGCTTGGATGGTTGTCCATCTGATATGGCTGGGGCCTTCTGTAGTGTCAGGTTGGAGGAGATCTTGGTACTGGGCGGGGCTTTTGCAGAAGGGACCGTGCAGTACAGCCGAGGTATGCTCGGGTAACACTGAAACCAAGAACAGCCATGAAAGCATTGACAGGCCAAGAAAGTGTTCAAAATGTGAACAAAAAGGATAGTGTGTGAGTGCTAACACATTGCACATAAACAAATCAGAGCATGCCCAACTATTGTTGACCAATTTCTGTTGAAAATTTCTCAACCTTTTCCAAGTTTATGCATTTCACACTTGACACAATTCATCTAAAATATGGCACTTCATCTATGACATGACATTGTAAACATTACGACTTTGGTACATGCAAACTGGACCTCTGTGCTGTAGTTGGGACCCTCCCAACTAAAGTTGGGACTGATGCTGTAGTTTGGGCATAACATTACCAAGAACTGGTATGCATGTCGTCGGGACTAATTCCTGGTTATGACTGCTAAAATGCAACCCTGACAGTGCCCACAAACTGCATGTTAGTACGCAAGTATTAAGCATTCTGTTAATGTGAAATAGGCCTACAACATTACCAACCTGGTGGTATTTTTGGTAGGCGCTACAGTCATAGCACGTTGTAACAATTACTAACAAAGCCTTTTTATTAAATTTTAATATTTATTTGAATGATAGTTATTCAATAATAATAATCTCACACTTGACCTGTTGACACAATTCATCTGACATGTCTACAGTTGGGCCAGCCCAACTACAGCTGAGAGGTCCTGTGTGCATGATGTGCCCAACATGTGCCAAAGTCATATTGTTTACAAATGTCATGTCATTGGTTATAGGGCTAGATGAACAGATGAAGAGCCACATTTTATATGAATTGTGTCAAGTGTGAGACACACTGACTTGGATAATGTTGAGACATTTCCCACAGACATTGCTCAACAATAGTTGGGCCAGCCCAACTGCAGCACTACAGTTGGGACCGTCCCAACTGTAGCTGGAACTTATACTATAGTTGCTAGTTGGGGCGTAACATAGTCATGATAGTTGGGGCGTAACAGCCTCCACCATGGAAACCACAGTGTGATGTTCTAAAACCTAGGAATTTAATACAGACCACGGGCACTGTTGCCTCAGCCAAACTTGCCATACTGGCTGCCTCTCGCACCCTGGATCTTAATGCTCTCAACATACTTTAAAAATAAATAAAATTTAACAGCTTTTGAGGTAAAGGTCTGTAGTTGGACCACGGAATCCAAAACACCTTGACCGTTTTCCACTCCCGGGCACGTGCAGCATTAATATGCATGCACATCAAAGATCGTACCACCGCGAAGCGGCGCTCCTCCATGCGCACATATATATGCACGCGGGGTGTGAATAGCGCCACCAGCCGCCCATTCTGAAGAACATTCAACTTCATACAGTCACTTTGACATTATTTTGCAGAAGAACCATGCTCATATGAGAAAAATGTGCCTGAAGACCTACCGAAGGCATCAATTAGCTATCTTTTCGTATCAAACAACCACTTTCATGATTAAAATTATCTTGAACTGTACGAATTGGTTCTTATCATATTAATCCTATAACAAAGGATTTTAGCAAGTCTAGTGCCACTCACATTCACCACATGTATTTTGCATGAAACCTCGCCTGGTTGACTTGAAATTGGCACGGATTAAATTCGAAATGTTGCGAGCAGCGGGATTAAGAGTTCGTCAATCCAGCTTTGCAAGCTTAGCTGAGGTATTGGTTCATTTAGATGATGACACGACCCTTTTTGTATTTTGCCATTTTCGAAAGTTGGAATGGTGTTTGTCATGTTTCATGGCATTGGGAAAGTTCATCTGTTCACGTAGTCCTGTCAAGTGTCATGTTCGTTGTTCTTCCATGAAAGAGCAACCCCTCCAGGCGGAGAGGGTGCTATTTATTTACTTTGATCATATTTTTAAAAGCAGAGGTGCCCCCCCGTATCCAAACACGGAGAGTAATGAATGTTTATGAATGTGATTTAACTGTTTAATGAAGTGACTGACTGAATTCTTTATCAAAATGATTGATATACACAATGAAGCTGAGAATTCAGTCAGTCACCTCATGACTGAATCTGTCACTAAAAGAAATTTGTGAAACACCCAAATCAGTCCTTTGTGCACGAGTTGCTTTTTGACTGGCATCTGGCGTGTAATCACGACAAAGTTTTACGTTCGAAGTTAGTACCACAGAAGACTACATGTATATTAAATTCAGTTCTGTTAAGCCTGGTTTCCATATACTCATTTGAAACGCAGACGGTCCGCAAGATGCAGACAGTCGCGGAAGAGACGCTGTGCGACGTCATTCCGCCAAACGATTTCAACAAAATGGCGTCCGAAACTTGGAAAATTTTCGCCAAAAAATGCCTTTTAAGGTGACAATGCTGCCTCTTGAAGCCAAACTGATACTCCAGTTTGATGTAATTTGTTAACGGTCAGCTATTTTATTGATGGTTGAGGCTGCATATGCTAGCAATAAGGAGAAAATGGACAAAATGAGTGGTACTAAGCTAGAGAAACATCATTGTATGCCAGTCATGCCTTCCCCCAGAACTATGGGGTCCGACATCCGCCCCTCTCCCCTTTTGGTTTCCTGACCCCATCCAAATGAAAGCTGAGCTATGATTGGTCATTGGAATGGAAGCAAATTTAGTGTGGCTTTCATTTTTGGGTGACCGGCAAACAAAAGGAAAAGACAGGAGCTGAGCGATTGGTCAAGCCATCACACAGCTGACAATTATTGAGAGTACATGCTCAGTGATGGGGCTGATTTTCTGTAGTATGGTTGGGCAAAATGCTCGAAGAATTTCACCATTGTAATTAAGATATAAGGTGAATAAACCTCCCCATCTGACATCTACATGTAACTCCACCAAGAAGCAAGAAGCCGAGGCATGTGTGAAATTTGATTGTATAAATAGCTGTAATGGAAGGGTAAGTTGGCGCAATCAAAACAGCTAGTTTGTACGTGGCTGTCTGCGAGGTTTGTTTAAACCTTATAGTTCTAGAAGTTGAGACAGACATGGAGGAACAGGCCTGCTGTTTTGCATTTGTCACTCTTAGCTTCCGTTTGTTTTATTTGTATGCAGAGCCATGACTGCCTTCAGCCATGAATATTACAGTGTTCTATCCAACAGGTGTTTTTTAATGAGAACACATTCAGTACATGTAGTTCAATGATGCGTGATTGATGGAATACCAATCCCAGGACCGGAATTTATGCAGGCGTACATAATAAAATCCTAGGTGTGCCATTACACTGAGGCACTACGCTCATGCACATTATGCCTGGAAAATACAATGCACATATAATTTTAGCAAATTTATGAATGCAAATCATTTTTAAAAGTATTAGCCAAAGAGATCAAAACAGGATATGTGTCTATCCCCAGGTTTGTGAATACCTCAAGGAAATAGACTTTAGTTTAAAATATTCTATTTTTTTGTTAAATTTACTTTAAACAGTTTCCATGGCAACCCAACATTGTGCGTTGTTATAGTGCTCCAGCATCACAGAATCCTGAGATTCCAGTCATCAAGATCAACAATAATCTCTCACTCCAAAAAGCAACGAGCAGTAGCAGAACACCCTCCAAAGACCGCCCTCTAGTGTTACTGCTGAGTTGGTTAGCTGCTAAACAACGTCATCTGGACAACTTTGCTGCTTTCTATCTAAATCGAGGCTGTGATGTCCTAACTGTGAAACTGCGACCCATGCAGGTTAATCCAGACAAATAAGTTGAACCCATTTTGTAAAATCTTTATTGCAATTATACATTCTATTTGCCCATTTTATTTTATGAATTCACCTTTCAATTTTTCCAAACAATGACATCTTAAAATTCGGGTGTACCTCCACGTACCTGTCTTAACAATGATCTGGTAAATGTTTCAGCTTTTGCTGCCAACTGTTGGAACACAAGTCATCGCTCGTGATGTGGTCAACTTTCTTCAGAGCAAGGATCAACGTGATCGTAAGATCCTAGTTCATGGGTTTTCTGTGGGAGGCTACCTGTATGGTGAGATTCTACAGCGCATGTTGGCATCACAGACAGAATCTAAAGAAATAACAAGTCGCATCATCGGTCAGATTTATGATAGTCCTGTTGACTTACAGAACATCCCTGTTGGAATGTCAAAGGTAAGATTTATAATGAAATGCCCAAGCACCAGGAAAGTGTAATGGGAAAAAAACGGAAAAGATCAAGAGGCCTCTTGAGAAAAGGATGGCATGTGATAAAAAAAGGAATCCTAAAAATGCACTTTGCACACTTTTAATAGTCCATTTTTTAGTTTTTTTACATGTGAATATGGTATTTATGTAGTTTTTGATGTAATCACTAATTTGCTATTTTCTTGTGACAGGCTCTTGCTAAGAATCGTCTGGTTCAGAAGAGCATGCAGGGTAGCTTGGAAGTTTACCTTCGAATCATGCATTCCGCTGCCACTAAGCATTATCATAAGAGCTCTCACACCTTCTATCACAACCCAGTCTCCGCCCCAGCTCTGTTCTTCTATTCACACACTGATCCTGTCGGTACAGCTGAGGCCAACGAGCGAGCCATCTCCACTCTGAAGACCGTCATGGGCTATGACAACATCTACAGCAAAGCATTTGAAGACTCACCTCACGTCAGTCATATGTATAAGCATCGCGATGAGTACATGGGCACTCTAAAAGCTTTCCTAACCAAAATTGACTACTTCAGAGATACTGTCGATGAGGTCCAAGAATTGGCAGATTTTGGTGGAGCGGAAGAGAAAACGGATGAAAAATAAAGGATAAAAGATGACTGAATATAAACTCATGAAATGATTGACAGGCATGTTTGCCACTGAAAGGATGTCTAAACCCAATCCTTACATAGTGAGACAGGAGAAATTTTTAGCTGGAACGTTCAAAGGGGATCAATTTTAGGCCCAACATCAAGCATACATGTGGATCACTCTCAGGCCCAACATCAAGCATACATGTGGATCACTCTCAGGCCCAACATCAAGCATACATGTGGATCACTCTCAGACCCAACATCAAGCATACATGTGGGTGGTAAATGAAGACAAGTCATATTTATCGACAATATTCCCCTGCAAACAAATTGTTAGAAAACTTGACTATTAACCAAGAAACTGTTAGGCTTCTTCAAATGAAGGGTTAATATTGAATCTTGTTTAAATTGATATGCAGAATCTGTTGGGACATCCGTTTGAGGCAATCATTCACATTGTATTGTGACCTTCAGTAAGTTATTCTGATTGTTCAAATACCGTCTCCTTGCTTAAATATAATCGTAATATGATATGTGTAAGAAGCGAAGGTAAGGGCAACTCTGTTTTACTTGGTATTCATGAAAAATCATCCTGAAATAGGTTTGTTGCATTTGCACTAATTATGAAGACATTTCTTGCCACAAAAATAATTATTAGTGAGATAAGACATTTGAGAACGTAATCGGTAGAAGAGAATTGTAATTTTTACCAGAGCTTGTGCTGATGAAAGAAAACTTAAGTATTACCAAATGATTTGATGAGTAAAGTTTAACATATATGTGTGTGTGTACACGTGCAAAACAATATGTACTTCAACACAATTAAAATGTTTGTAAGGTTGATGTGCAAATTTGTAAATTAAATGTAAGCTCTTCAGTGTTACGGAGAATTTACGTTCCCTTTTGGCTATTATTTTATGCAGAAAGTCAGTACATGTATATGAGAAAGTGATTCCAAAATTGCTTTCTAATGACTTGGCTTTATCTTTAAATGCTCAATACTGTCAAGCGATGTTCTTTTGAAACTTTAGTTGAGAATGGAAAGAATTGTCTTCCAGTATTTGGAAATTTGGGAGACTTTCTCAACGTGTTCACTATTAAATTTTATTTGCCAGCTGGTTTAAAGTTTAAAAAATTTCCTTTGTCTTATTGAAAACTACTCAACATGAAATTTAAATAAATTGATGGCTTAGCTCTCTTTGTGCAGTCGTGTAAAATGTGAAATGAAAAGGTTGTGTTTCATAGACTCCACTGTACATTATGCAGATTGGCTCTTCTGTAATGTTAAAACCCTGTTTTTCCTGTAAAATCTGTGGATCCTTGTCGCAACACAGGCTGATTGCTGACGGTAGTTGAAAGGAATTGACTTAATTTTTGTAGATGAGTTTTAAAGAACATGTACATGTATATATGAAATAATCCCACATCTGGAGTTTTCTGAGTTTTTAATGAGTTTGGACATCCAACTGAAGATGCCAGTAAGCATTACTATGATGGGGTGGATGAATTTGGAAAGTTGGGTACCCAAAGTTCAGCGTCCACATTTTGTCAGGTACATGTACTTACTCTAGTTGAACTGCAGCCATACTCTCCTGGTGTTTCCATAATGACATTGTATTTGTCTTGAAATTTCAGAAATTTTTCAAGTTACTAGGATTTGGATTTTAGTCAGACATTAATCCGTTCAGGTACTGAAACTGGCAGATTTCATAAAGTATTCATAAGACTGTGGCCAGCACACTTGAAGAGATCTGTGGTTCGAAGGTGATGAAAAACAAAAAACGAGGGACTGAAAAATTTAATTCACACGTTGACCTGGATGGAGTCTAATTTTTGTCAAAGGGCTGAAATGGCAACGGAAATGAAAGCTCATTACATCAAAGAGAAAGGTTTCAAACAACAGCTAAAATTTGAGGCTTTGTTGGTTAAAAAATAAATATAGACCTATGCTTGAAATTTAGTGCCAGTATTGTGTGCAAGTGATAAGATGTGAAAATAATATATCTTGCTGTATTTAATAATTGAAAAATAGTGTGCTTGAATTTCTTGTTCTATTTTACCCGGTACACCCATATGGTCATACTTCGAAACATGTTCTACATGAAATTATAATTCAGATTGATATCACAATCTTTAATTGCTACCTCCAAGGCTTCAATGAAGTCATGAAAGAATCTCCATTCCTCGGTAATTGTGAAAATTAAAAGATTTCATGATGTGACTTTCGGGGAGACGTATTTGAGGGAGCGCAAGATGGTCATGCCTACCTCTAGTGGAGTTCGGCGTCCGCTAAGCTCTCGTACAAAAAGTCACACTTATGGAGGACGAAAGGTGGCCATCTGCTTTTCTTCTATCAGAATAGAAGAAAAGTGGATATTACGTCTTTATAACGTGCTATTTTCGACTTTTCTGCCATCTCAAAAGCAGAATGAACATTTGATTTTAATGCATTTTCCACTTTTCTGCTAGTTCAAGAGCAGTAATGTTTTCCTTTTTTTTTCTTTTGTTGGCTGCCGAAAAGTGGCTATCTGCTTTTTACCTGTCAAAAAAGCAGGAAAGTGGATCGAACGTTTTAATGACAATCGCGAATTTAACATTTCTCCTTTTGTGATACCGGAGAAGCAGATTTGACATAGGTGGCCAAATAGCGGCCATAAATGTTCTGAGCGTGAGCGTAACCTGGGGGGTCAGGGTAATTATAATATGGGCGCTTTACGCATGCGTGTTAATAAGAGAGATCAGCTTTGAGCTATCAGTAGTTGAGTGGCGGCTCATTGTTTCAATGCACTGCTTTGGTCTTTGATATTTTTGTCGAAACTTTTCAATAATTTCAGTGCACCACATTCGATAAGAGCCCAATGGTTACGGTAGTGATTAGTAAGAACAAACTCTTGCAGATGGTGTTCGTGTCCCATGTATCGAGAAAGCGTGAATTTACAGTGGCTCAATATTGTCACTGTTCTCGGCCGAACGGCTGGACTGGATATGTACCTATGAGCAAGTACAAAGTTCACTGGCGATTTAGCATGACCAGACCTTACGGACGTATCAAAGAAAGGTTTCTATCCCGATACTGATCTCATGCTTTGTAAACAATTTTTCGAAAAATAATTTGTTGGCTTGGTTTGTCAGTATTAATTTTGAATTGCTTATTGGATTTTATTTTACTTCTTTGTCACAGAGTGCAGGCCCACAGCGCAGGCCCCCTGTAGGTGTTTTGGTATGGCAATATTCTCCATAATTTGTAAGTTCATGCACTTCATGCCCTGTCTACTTGATTTGGTTTTTTTTTGGGGGGGGTCAGGAATGTCTCAAATCACCCTTCAGTTTCAGTTTATATGAAGGTAATCGTCAGAAATCTACTAGTGAAATGTGAAGGACAGTCGTTCCTGACATGCCTGATGATATCGATCGGAGTTAGTCTTGTCCATGTTCTGCACACTACGGTATCACAAAGCAGCATATCCTCCTCGTCTTGCAGTTCCTGTGAAAGAAAACCTTTTTCTGAAAAATTCTATAGAAGATTCCAGAAGGATCTCGGCTTTCTCTCTTTCTTTCGTTGCATTTGGTTCTACAAACAATAGTGTTCCAGAGGAACCCGCCGAGACTGAATGCTACGCTCATAAAGCAACCGTGCGCTGGAGCATTTGCTGAACGCTACTCGGCCTTCCCTTCACTCAATTTTGGACTTCGATTCATTCGTTATTTTTTACACATCAGATAACAATGATGTCAGTACAAACTGGAATATTGACATTTAACTTTTCATGAATAATGCCCCTTTGGAACCAGTAAGATAGACGAATACAAGATAAAGGTGAGTGTGGAAGGAGATCCCCAAGAAGCAAAGCTTGTCGAGTAGGGATCCCCATAACCGTCCGAGCAGTCACTCACACAAAATAGTACCGTTAAGTTAGTCCATGTAGCGATTTTTTCTCCATGTGGTGTTTTTTGTCTCCAGGAAGTTCCCGGGTCATGCCTGAGCCTGTACGACAGTTTGATGGTAGCTAATACATCCATCCGGTCCCCTTAACCTATTTTTCATTATGCTACTGTAGAAGTTTAAATACTGTATAGCCACGCCTTAAAAATTACTCCGAGCAGCGAGGTGGATGCTTTTACTACCAAGTCATTTCCCGGTCATATGGGCGTCTTCAGGATACTGATATTTCAAAAATTCTTACTCTGTAGTCTTTTCTCTGTGGCCAATAAGAGTCTACAGGCTTGTGGTATATGCCTAGTGTGAGGATTACACAAAATCTTTGCCAAATTGCCCCACTGAAAAACAAAGTTATGACCATATTTTGTGATAATTGTCGATCTGTATTACCACGCCGTCTACACCAGAGACGTTAGAATTGGCTAAATTTAACTTAACAACAGCAAGTTACAAAACATTTATATGTTTTATAGGATTTGGAGATGTGTTAAAGTACGGTGCATAAAGGCTTCAAGCTGAGAAGAATAGATATCATTAATCTTTAGTTTTATGTTTACACTCGAGCTTTTCTAAGATTGGACACGACCATCATTTGCAAAATAATTTTTGGGCAGTATGCGAATGTGGTCCACTGAAATTACTGAATATTTTCGAAAAAACGATAGCAAAGATCGTAGCTGAATTTTTCATAAGTAAGCGTTTTGTTCACAAACTTCCGGCACGTTAAAAGTTTAAAACTTACGCGACATGTACAGCTATGCCTTCCACTTAAAAATGTTTTCGTTCTTCTCTAAGGGCTAAATTAAAAAGCGGCCACTGGATGTACGCACCTGCTTTTCTTGAAGAAAAAACAAAACAAAACAAAACAATCTACTATTCAGATGGCCATTTTTCATCCTCCATACACACTTCAGCTCATTCCAAACGATCATTGGTCAACCAATTGATCATTTTTATAGTGGGGTCCAAGGCGTACGCGTGGGTCATCACTACCCATGGTAAGGCAATCACAGTACCCTCAGAACGTGGGGTCTGATGTCCACTCCGCTCCCACGTGGGAGCAATGTCGGACCCCACAGTTCTGGGGGTACAACCACACAAGTACACAAAACTTAGCTTTTTCAATTGACACGTACATGTACATGTTCTACATCATAACAATTTACATATATATCATCATATCAAAGGTGAGCGTACAGCAGGTATGACTCGGGCTACCACTGGCAGGTGCCTGGTAATGTACAAGGTACGGAAGTCAATTCATAGATAAAGCCCATCGGGGACAGAGTTCGTTAATATACGGAAGCTACTATATAGCCATTTGAAAGCAGTAACATGACATAGCTTAACCAAATTTAGCAGGGAAAATATGGGCAAAAGGATTTTAAAGGTTGAAATATATCCCGCTGCAGAAGTTCAAAAATACTAATTACAAGATTGCTGGTATAGTGGTACTGGAGTATAGTGCCTTATACTGTTCAGGAAGTAGGCAATAGGTAGCTTGCTGCTAACAAGGATAATGTACGCCAGAGGTGAACTGCATGTTGACTTAATTTTGAATGCGGTCCCTGCGCCGACCAATCCTGACACTGTGACATATTTTGTGCATTTCCCGTCTGCACATAAGTGAAGCAACATCTTCGTGCACATCAGCACAGGTAATACCACAAATTAGTCAATAATTTGGGTTTTGTGAAATAACAGAAAATAAGAAATATCAAATTCCGAATAGGCTGGCAAAACTAGTTCAGACCTACTATATCTATTAAGAATTATGAAGAATGCTTGCCCAACTTTGTTAAAAATGGAAAATGTCTTTTTTAAATGGAAGATCGAGTCATGAAATTTAGCATCGGTTTGGTTAAAAGCTCCATATCTTTCCAGTTCGGTTTTAAATAGCAGTTTTGTTTGGTTTTCCTTTTATTTTTCCCGTTTTTCTGTTTTATGATGTGATCTGCATGCAAGCTCGATGCAATCGCTAATTTAATTTCTTATGTGGTAAGAATTAGTAGCAATTCCTAAGGGTTGTGTGTATGGCACGTTTAGCAATGTAATTTTGTCTATTTACTAGATGTGCAGGTTTTCTCAGTGGAACATAACAGAACTGATACAAAAGGTGAAATTAAAATTAAATATAAACAGTAGCTTGTTTATATTGCCGGAAGCTTTTTGTTTTTTTTTCAACCGACAGTGAGTTTATCTTGAGAGACATGGCCCTCCCTGCCACATTCAGGAAGCTAGTAGCTACCAAACTGTCACAACACTTCAAGGATGCAGTGACTTTGCAGACTGTTCCCATGCTTAAACCAGGACCCAAGGATATCTTGGTTCGCAACAGGTACTTATAAATTAGAATTGTTTTTCCTACGTGGTATTTCAATAACCTTTAAGTTTGATCACAGTAAATGCAGTGATCGAGTCTAGAAGCCCGTAATGATCGAGTTGTTTTTGTGTTGGGGCATTGTTATCATCCTCCTCAAGAAATTCATGACTCAGAGCTCAGATATATCAACACAAGTAATCGTATGTTCTTATGTAAGTATGTTCCAAGTCTATTTTTGAACTTGAGAACATTTTCACAGACCTTTAAAGCTCTTGAAACAGTCATCTTGCTGCATCAAGAAAACATTCTCACCTCAGGAAAACATTCTCACCTCAGGAAAGCATTCTGTCAAACCTGCAAGTTAGTGTTTTTATCCACTGACCTCTGTCTCTTGCCATTCATCATTCACATTGTTGAAAACACCTTCCGCAATTACCTTCCCATTTGCCAAAACTCAGAAAAAAGAAACAATTTCATAAATATGAAAATCTTGAAAATCACCAAATGGCAGCCAAAACATCCAGTTTCACCAACGTATAGGATTTAGTTACTGTACAGGTCTCAAAATAAGAACAGGACCATTTGTGTTGACCTTAATTTTCACACTAAAGCCTCTCAACTCAACCTGAGTTTGGCTTGAACCCATGCAGTGGATTCAAACCTTTGTTTTGTCCAAGCCTACCTCAATCATCCAAAATCCTTCGGGTGGTTTTGGAGGATTTTAGAGGATTGAGGATGAATGGTGAATGAAGTACCAAAAATCAGTTTTGAAACTGGGCAGTTGGAGGATTTTGGAGGAGTGAGGATGTTCCTTAGTTAAAAGGCCCTAGTGGGTTAGGATTTTAAGGACAGTTCAACTAAGAAATGAGAACGGGTTGAAAAATCTCAACCCTGCATGGTCAGGTGGTTGAGTCCAACTGCAGTTGAAGTTAATCTCTGGGTAAATATGGGGTAGAATGGGGTTGAAAATCTTAAAAATGTGAATCGTTACCAATTTTAACCCTGCCTGGCCTAGGCCTGCCTTAACCCTGTGATCAAGTGTGAAAAAGGCCTTATGAGAGTGATGTCTTTAAGTTACAAGGATAAAATGTCACAAGCTAAGGTCGTCAACAAGTGGGATTATTTTACCCACTTTGGATCTATAGATGCTTGAAACTGGTTATTGGAGTTTGTTGTGTCTGATGGTTTTAGGTGCATTTTTAATGTAACAGATTTGTTGGGATAAATGCAAGTGACATCAACAAAACAGCTGGCCGATACAGCTTACACGATAAGCCTCCTTTTGAAATTGGATTTGAGGTAAGTGGCTTTAGATACCGCTCTGTCTTGCAGAAAGAAATCAGTGAACTCAGATAGTAATCAAGGGCAGATCCAGAACCAAGCTATTTGGGGCTGGGGCACTATTTTTGTTTGGGGGATTCCGAAAATTCCTTTGGCAACCTCTATGGCCCATCGATCTGAGGGGTAAAGCAAAATTTTAGGGCTGCTTACACACTTTGAAAAATTGTTTTTCTTAATGTTAAAACCGCCAAAACCCTGACCAGACAACAAGAATGTTCAGCCGTGCAAGACAATGTTGCCATTATACAATATATTGTCTACCAGCACATTCAATAATGCTAGCATACACGATATATCCGTCAGTGTCAGCATATTTAGTGTCAACAGTATCCGCTTCAGTTGTATGGCACAATTAAAGCTGAGTAAAACAAGCAAGAACTATGTGCCACTTTCCAAGGGTGGGTCCGGGGAGGATGACTCCACCACACCCTCTTATTTATTCTACTGTTTGTTTTTACAGTATATTTCTTGATGGAGCATACTGGGTAATTTTGCATTAGACGTGCATGCTTGGTAATTCACACCAATTGTGTGTATTCCAGTGAATTTGTGACTTCATTATGGGTTTTTCTTTAAATTCATTTTCAGTCTGTTGGCGAAGTTGTTGATTTCGGTAGTGAAGTGAAAAATGTCAAGATTGGTCAAGGTGTGTGCTTCATGCATAATGGAGCTTTTTCTGAATATCAGGTAAGTGTGTAAAACTGTAACCCCTGTATCAGGTTAGACATTTTCAGAAGGAAAATACTATTTTCTAAAGTGAGGAAAGGTTTAATTTAATAGAAAATGCAATGTTTAATAAGATTTCGATTTCAGTTGTTCCAGTGTGCCAATTAATTATTGTGCACTATACTTATATTTAAGATCTGAAGCTCTTGACAAAGATTCCTTTGAAAATAGCAAGTAAGAGAAGGGAAGGCTTGAAACTGTCTTGGTGTGTTTGTAGGTTCTTCCAGCTAAGATGGCCAGTCCAATCCCATCCATTCAACCTGAGTACACAGCATTGTTGATAAGTGGCATGACAGCAGATATCAGTCTGAGGGAGGTAAGATCAGGTGATCTATTACATCTGCCTTAGAGTTACATCAAGGTGTAACAAACATTGTCTGACATATCCATGTAGATATCAAAGTGTACCTCAATATTAACAGTGCCAATTCTCAGGGATATCAGCCTCAGGAAGGTAAGGTCATGTGACCTTTGATGACAGGTATCTGTTATATCAAGGTTTAACAAACATTGACATGTCTAGACAAGCATGCATTATATGTTTAACAATGTCTCATTGTGATTTTGATTTTGTGACACACCATGATGTGTACTGTAAATATAAAAAGGTGGGAAATTGACATCTGTGTTGATACATTCTCTGGGTACTTGAGAATAAAAATTCATTTGAAAATTAAGTGGTCTTCAGCTATCCCAATTATGTGTGCATAAGCTAAGAACGTCGGAAGGATTGGGAAGTTTTTAGTGGCAGCTAGTTAGATGGATATCATTACTGTCAAAATTCAAGAGTTTAGAATTTCGACTCCATCTAATATTCAGTAATGGGTCAACCTGCCTTTGCATATGCAAATTTGGAAATAATTGTTCGTATTGATGTGTTCAGGTGGGAAGGATTAAGCGAGGAGAAACAGTGCTTGTGACAGGTTGGTTATTATGTATTCATGTCCGTCTTAAATCAATATTTCAATACGATGTGTTATTTGTTTGGCCTAACAGTTTAACATCTTTTACAATCTTCTCCAGGGAGATTGTTTAAGGAAGAACCTTGCTGCTTCATTGCACAAATCAGTCCATCATTATAAAACAGTACACTGTCAATTATCTAAATCTTGTTGAGTTTAATGTTGATGATGTGTAATAAATGCCAAGATTCTTGCCATTAAGGACAGTTATATGCTTAATGGTTGCTCTTCTACATGCAACTTTGTAATCATGAGGCATAAAATGCAAATGGGAAGATTGGAATAAGGAGAGGGGTCCCTGTTTCATCTTGGGATGTTTCTTCTTTCAGCTGCTGCTGGAGGTACCGGGCAGTTTGCGGTGAGTATCATTATGCCCAATTTTACAGCGCTGCTTAGCACACGCTAAAGGAAGCTGCATGTATTTCATGGAGACCGGAAGTAGTAAGAACAGCCAATAGCTTGCTAACTTTGCTTAAACTTAGTGACGTAACAATAGAAATCTGTATGTGTGCAGAAGCCTCATGCCAGAACAACTGATTAAGTTTAGCAGATATTTTTGCAAAGTTAGCATGAATTTTCGGCTATTAAGTAGGTCCATGAAATTGGACTTGGATTATGCCATCACTTGTACCTGTTGATGGTTAGCAATAAAGCACTATCTTCTTAATTTCACAAATAATTATCTTGTTGCTGAGTTGGGATGACAGGTTTTCTGTCTTATCTGTTCGAACTGCTTGTTAAACTACTTCTCTTCCATCTACAGGTTCAGTTTGCTAAACAAGCTGGATGCCATGTGATAGGAACATGCTCATCCGATGCCAAAGCTGAATTCCTGAAGGTGGCTGGTTATTTGTTTCTTAATTTTTGTAAGGGTGGAAAGACCGCTTCCAATGCAAGTGGAAGTTACATTATGTGATGGATAAATCATTGTGAAGATAGTCAGTTTTAAGAGTTTACTGTCTTGCTAATAACAACCTAAACCTTTTTTCCTGGCAGTACGTTTTCCTTGATAGTTTCTCAGGAAAAAATCTTTTCCCTTTCTTCTTATAGAGTCTTGGCTGTGACAGGCCTATCAATTACAAGTCAGAAAACTTGGCAGATGTTCTGAAGAAAGAATACCCTGTAAGTGTAGAGCTGTCTGCTTTAATTTGATCTTTGTTTTTCCTGTTGTGTTCTTTTCTTACTGGTAGATTTTTTTGTTTTTTGGTTTTCTTGAAATCAGTTCAGCCATTGTCTGCTTGTGTAGCTGGAAGATTTTGAGAATCTTGACTTGTTTCTAATGTGTCACTTTGCTTTCATTTCAGGCAGGGGTTGATGTAGTCTATGAGTGTGTTGGTGGAGATATATTTCATACTTGCCTTCGCAGGTAACGACTCTAACGTTTGTGGATTTATTTCATGAGTGAAACCCAGAGATTCCTGTCTTCAAAGCATGAAGCAGCTTAGGCAGGTTAAAATTAAAAACTCTGAATAATAGAAGCCTCATGAGAAAATGTTGAAATTAGACTTCGTGTGTTTTGGTGTGGATAGTCAATATGGGTCATATGTAATTACATATTACATTGTGCACTGCCAGAATATTTACAGAAGCGACAAGAGAGGTTTCAGCTGTGTCCCCAATGGATAGGGTCTATGCTGTTTGTAATTATTTATGTCTAGTTTGGCGCCAAAAGGACGTCTTATCACCATTGGCTTTATCTCTGGATACAAGGAAGACGCCGTTGCAGCACCAACAATTCATCCAAAAGAAATGCTTGGGGTAAGAGTTTAAATTAATGTGAATTTATAAAGCAAATTTTGTGTGATCAGGAGTACATGTACATGATTGGGCTTCATTTGTCCTGCTTATCTTAAAGCTCCTATCGAAGTCGGCCAGCATAAATGGTTTCCTTATGCATTCTTACACTGACCAATGGCTGGCATCATTCGTCAGACAAGCTGATCTCTTAGCCAAGGGGTCACTCAAAGTAGGAGTTGATCTTGGTAAGAACAGCGACAAAGGACCCTTCAAGGGAGTAGAGGGAGTTATGGATGCCATTGATGTAAGTGAGATTGATTGCTCAGTCTTGTTTATGATAGAATTGCTGACATAATGAAGTTTTACTGATTGTGATTTCAAGATTGTTTCTGGTTTTTAGACTTTTCCAATGTGAATTCTGAAGTCAAACATCCTCTTGAATTCTTCTCATTTCTTTTTTATTTCTTGCAGTATCTGTATAGTGGCAAAAATAAGGGCAAGGTTGTCGTGGAGATGCCATGATCCCCTTCCAGCTGCTGGACTGTAATTGGACATTCACTGAAATCAAAGGCTTCCAATTGGTCAATCTCTAACACTAAAGGGCTCTGGTTGGCTAGTCAGAGAAATTTAAGACTTTCAATTGGTCAGTCTCAAGCACTGAAGAATTTGGACTGGCTAGTGAAGGAAAGTTTTTCAATTAGGTCAGGCAGCACTATTGATGATTGGCTAGTTAGTGAAATTATATACGGACTTCTAATGGACCAATTGTGCCCAATGAGTCACGTGACCTAGAGTATCAAACATCAAAATGGGATCCCCTCATAAGTGTGACATGAGTGTCGTTTACCAAAAATAAGCAGTTGATCTGTAAGGTACTCCAACTACGGGTGTACTGAGCGCTATATCGAAACTCGGCTTTGATGTTACATTTATACATGTAATTGTGTACAGTATATGCAAAACCCTTTGCACTGAAATTGACCAGCATTTGGTTTGCAAAAGTAACATTTATCTATGGAGCTGACCTGGGTGACTCTGGTCACTTGACCCAAATACCTTTAAAAGACAAATCTCATTTTAAAAGTCAGTTCTACATGGTAAGTTTATGTACAAATAAATACTACACGAAATAGCCACTTAATTCGCCACGTCAGCTGCAGCTTCAGAGTAGGACATAGGAATCGCAGTCTTTGGATAAGCTAAATGGCATAATGTTCTTAATTTTCTATCCCTTTCAGTGATTATAGATGGATGTCTTGGCGATTAATTTATAAGACTATACTGGTACTAATAGAAAAAGGAATAGCATATGGCTCAGAAAATGTGGTAGGCCTACACATTGACCTTTTCTATGAAATTATGACAACAGGATGAAGTAGGATGATTATAGACGATGAGTCATATTGCGTGACGTTGTGGGAAAATGCCGACTGGCCCACCAGGAGGTCCTAAAGTAATCAAGGGGCAGAAAGCGATAATCCTGGACATACAATGGACAATGCCTGGTGGCATGTGCCACCAGGTAATGATAAAGATAATCCTTTTATTAACGGCCTGTACGTGGCGCCGGGTGCAAATGGGAATAATCTTTCGGACAAATTTTTGTACTTCCAAGGTACTTCGGAGTGAGCGATGGTTGACTTAATCCTTGGACACTAAACGAGAGAGGGCGGGCACATGCTAACGGTCCTGCGGTAGGTTACAACACTGAGATCTAATCATACAGGGACACAGAAGGAGTTTGAACTGCCGGGGCTCTAACATCTGGCCAATTACCGCTTTTTGGCGTGCCTGGTATGTCCATAGCCAGAGCGCAGCAAACACTTGCTACGTACCATCATCTGTTTCACAACCCCGAAAGCCCTTTGTACCCTATGATCGCCGCCGCAATTTGTCAATGGTAATCTGCATCCTAAACACTGTAAAACTTCGTGTACTGAGGCATAAGACTTTGAATATTCATGCCAATTGTTGGTGCTTGATGTGATCTCACAACAACATCATTGCTTGCGCAGTTGCTTGCATTACGCTGTGTGCCCTAAATCTATAATATGTGCCTGCAGTCATTGCCCTTAATGAACTCTTTCTTCTTTGGGAATAAATAGCCCAGTTGTTTAAAAGATGTTGTGTTTTGTTTGAATCATTTTATGATGTTTGTACAAAACCGTATTTTATGAGATTTCACTCCTTGTGATGAAATGTAGGTAACTTGACAGAAACTCCTTATAGTTGCCGAAAAGGTATTGCTTGACTGCCCAGGGGGTCTTTCTGCTTGCCTGCCCAGGGGGTCTTTCTGCTTGTCTGCCCAGGGGGTCTTTCTGCTTGACTGCCCAGGGGGTCTTTCTGCTTGACTGCCCAGGGGGTCTTTCTGCTTGCCTTTTGCCTGACTTAATATTCATCATCCATGCCTTCGTTGACGTACTTGTCATATTTTTCATTCCTCATCTCCCTATTTGTTTCTCTGGCTTCAGCCAGCCAATCTTAGTAGGTGGAATTGCTCTTCCAATTCTGAACTGTCTTCACCTCCTCAACAGGTTCTGAATCACGGTCAACTTCATTCATGTCTGATTCCTCCTCAGCGTGGATATTTTCCATGTGCCTTTTTAGATTAGACTTCCGTCCAAACATTGTCACACTGGTGACAAGCATGGACAAATCATCATTTTTTTTTGCAGTTCATTCGGCCACAGTGGTATATAAGAGTTGCAGCTCAGTCAACTCAATCGATGTAGAATTTTCAAGATCTTGAAAACTTTTTCAAGCAGTGGCCGCAATGCTGAAAACAGGCACTTCATCCATCCGCTTTGGCAATGGCGTGAGTAGCACGTGCATTATGTACATGTTCACCAGAATTCCTCCAACGCGACGATCGCGAAAACCCATCACCGGGTTTCGAAAATGCATCAACGTTGGATACCGGATCTGATGGAACGCCATCACCGCTGGTGAATATACATGTACATGTACGTCACCAGCTGACGGGTGCACCGGTGATCACCGATCGTGAATATGCATCACTCATTGCTAATGCACATTGACCGATTCGGTAATCGCATTAAAATAAATGCCTCTTTGGCGTTCCATAGCCACGTGATGTACAGATTACATGGATTGTCCACACAGTGCATTGCATTCCACGCGCGACCCCGTTGCTCTGAGTCTATGCTGAAACTCCCAAGCACACTTCCAACTTATTTCCCCAAAATCTTCCTCGGAGTCGATCCTACTTTCAGTCGCACATATAACCCTTACATTCGACCCACACAGACCCCCAACTCATACTGCATGTGTCCCACCAAACCACACACCGAAAGGCTGTGTCTGGTCACGGCACAGCGAGGTCAATTACCTCCGCTCACCTCAGTTTTACCCCGAAAGAATAACCGGTATGTGTAGATTTCCTAGCCATCCAGAGAATAAGTGTTGTACACAACCCAATGTATCAAGAAAGGCTCACCCTTTCCTTCGTTGACTAAGTCCCCCCTAGCTCACACACGAACTGCCTTTCACCCTCCCGCCCGCAAACTTCTCGGACTTTATCGCTCTCCAGAAACGAAGTCAGCGAAGACCAAGTGTGTACAAAATCCCCATAGACTTTTCTTCCATAGACTTCCTACAGTATGAATTATTCATGGCCACCCCCAATCCAGTGCTCCCATTGGCTAAGACGCGGACCCAAAAGTTTATATAAATCGACCAGCTCCACAGGTCAGCAACGGTCATTCCCGGTGTTCCGAGTGGGCAGCCTTGGCTAAACAACTCCGATGTGAACAACTTTTCTATCACCCCCGAATAAATAGCTCAGATTTGGATGAGCACTACTTGAATAATATCCAGCCTTACTAGTAGCAGTTGCTCATTGTAAATATGGAGAAGATGTAAATAATTCTTCGGAATAAAACAGTAGTGTGTGTATAAGTCAGTCCTCCATGGTCAGTCCAATGACTTTCTATTTATGATAACGCCTCTCTACCCTAAGAGAGAGGTTACGATACCATACTTACGGAAGCTAGTACTACTGAATAGCCATTTGAAAGCAATAAAATGACCTAAAAGGTCAAATTTAGCAGGGAAATTATTGCAATACACCCCGCTACAGACGTTCAAAAGCTCGTCAGATGACAAGATTGCTGGTACTGGAGTTGGCATGGTGGCTTACTTAACCGGGTTACTGTTCAGGATAATTTATGCCAAAGGTGAACTTCCTGTTTTCTGTTGAATGTGTACTTTGTACTCGACCCGTGCATGTCCCGCATTTGTAATCTGGGACGTCAGTGAAGTAACATCTTCGTGTACATCAGCACAGGTAATATCACAAATTTGCCACTATTAATATAGGGTGTAGTAAATTAAAAAACAAAAAGAAATGTCAAATTCTAAATGGGTTAAGCTCTGCCAATATTTTAGACCATTTATATCTCGGAAGAATTGTTAAAAATGCTTACCCAACTTAAAGAAATGGATTGAAAATTTATTACAAAAAGTGCAGAGTCATGCAAATCGGCATGTTTTGGTTACAAGTTCCATTTCTTTTCCATTGGTTTTAAATCGCAGTTTTGTTTGGTTTTCCTTTTATTTTTGCTGTTGTATGATCTGATCTGTACATGTAACTAAAGCAAGTTCGATACAATGCTAGCAATTCCTAAGGGTTGTGTTTATGACACTTTCAGCAATTTAATTTTGTCTGTTCACTAACAGATTGGGACCAAGTGTTCTCAGTGGAACATCACAGAACTGATACAAAAGGTGAAATGTCAAACCGTAGCTTGTTTATATAGCCAGGGCCTTTTTCTTTTTTTCAACTGACAGTGAGTTCATCTTGAGAGACATGGCACTCCCTGCCACATTCAGGAAGCTTGTAGCTACCAAACTGTCACAACACTTCAAGGATGCAGTGACTTTGCAGACTGTTCCCATGCTTAAACCAGGACCCAAGGATATCTTGGTTCGCAACAGGTACTTATAAATTAGAATTGTTTTTCCTCACCTCAAGGAAACATTCTCACCTCAAGAAAAACATTCTCACCTCACCTTAACCCTGAGATTGGTCTAGTGCGGAAAAAGGCCTTGTGAGAGGGATTTAATTTGTCTTTTGTTTACAAGGATAAAACATCACAAGCTGATGTCATCAACACGTGGGATTATTTTCCCAGTTTGGGTAGTATAGATGCTTGAAGCTGGTTATTAATTGGAGTTTGTTGTGTCTGATGATTTTAGGTGCATTTTTAATGTAACAGATTTGTTGGGATAAATGCAAGTGACATCAACAAAACAGCTGGCCGATACAGCTTAGACGATAAGCCTCCTTTTGAAATTGGATTTGAGGTAAGTGTTAAATGCTGTTTTGTCTTGCAGAAATAAAGCAGTGAACTCAGACAGTGATAAAGGGTGGATCCAAATTATTTGGGGGGGGGCACTATTTTTGTTTGTGGGATTCCGAAATTTCTTTTTATAACCTCTATGGCCCATCCACCTGAGGGTAAGGCAAAAGTTTAGGGCTGCTTACACACTTTGATATAATATAAAACCCCCCACAAAACCCCAGACCGATAAAAATAATGTGCAACCATGTAAGACAGCATTGTCATTATACAGTGAATTGCTTACCAGCATATTTATTGAGGGCGAGCCAAATCAGTAAACTAATATAAAATATACGCAAATTAAAAATGACAACGTACTTGTATATATGACACACACACACGTATAAGTAATACAGAGAGCAAAACATTGAGTAATGTATATAAAAATAGAGAGTAAGACACAAATATAGAAACCTGTGTATGATGTAAACAAAAGTTGAAAAAGCTCAGGTTTAAAAACTGGAAAAGACTCAATTTGCATGAGAGTATTTGGCAGATCGTTCCACATTTTAGCCCCAGAAACAGCAAAGCTCGAGCGCAGGCTGTACGTCTTGAAAGGGAACCCTTGCTTATGCAATAATACCAGCATGTATGGTATATCCGTCAGTACCAGCATACTTAGTGGTAATAATATTCGCTTCAGTTGTATGGCACAATTATAGCTGAGCAAAACAAGCAAGAACTGTGCCACTTTACAGAATGGCTTTACCACACCCTCTTATTCTACTGTGGATGTTTACACTATTTTTCTTGCATGGAGCATGCTGGGTAATTCATTCCAACTTTGTGTACTTCAGTGAATTTTATAACTTAAATCATGGGGTGTTTTTTGGATTAATTTTCAGTCTGTTGGCGAAGTTGTTGATCTGGGTAGTGAAGTGAAAAATGTCAAGATTGGTCAAGGTGTGTGCTTCATGCATAATGGAGCTTTTTCTGAATATCAGGTAAGTGTGTAAAACTGTAACCCCTGTATCAGGTTAGACATTTTCAGAAGGAAAATACTATTTTCTAAAGTGAGAAAAGGTTTAATTTAATAGAAAAAAGAATGCTTAATAAGATGTTGATTTCAGTTGTTGTGCAGCAATTAATTATTGTGCACTATACTTATATTTAAGATCTTAAGCTCTTGACAAAGACTCCTTTGAAAATAGCAAGTAAGAGAACGGAAGGCTTGAAACTGTCTTGGTGTGTTTGTAGGTTCTTCCAGCTAAGATGGCCAGTCCAATCCCATCCATTCAACCTGAGTACACAGCATTGTTGATAAGTGGCATGACAGCAGATATCAGTCTGAGGGAGGTAAGATCAGGTGATCTATTACATCTGCTTTACAGTTACATCAAGGTGTAACAAACATTGTCTGACATATTTAGATATCTTAACCACTACCTGCTGGGTAGATTTCTCTTGAGCGGGATGTGATGGTGGAACCTTTTCAAAATTTTCTGTTTTCAAAATTCTTTAAAAACTCATATATTCATTTACTGGACATTTACACCCACGTGAATGACTCTCTGGTGCCTACTCTAAGCTGTCAGGCAACATTCATTGACGCCCGAGTATTCACCCAGGCCTGCAGCCCTGTAAAAGAGAGCCCAGAATTGTGAAGTGTTGCATAATTTCCTTTGTTCCGGTGAATGCCAGTTGCGTCTTTTCATACGCAGCTGGATTAGCGAGCAGTGGCGCTGTGTTGCTCATCAATGGGCCCCTGGAGCACTTTTGTCCCCGGTGCTAATCTGCGGGCGCACTGTGCCCAAAACAGTGGTATACTGTTTCAAAACAGTGGCGGATTACCTTTGAAAAATGGAAGTTGAAAAATTATGGCAATTCCCAGCAGCAGGTCCTTTGTTCCGAGTACAGTCTTTTGTTACACAGACCAGTTCCTTTTTCCGAAACCGGGCACCCCGGCTCTGCGTATAAACACATGGTGCCCAAAACCGGGCTTCCCGGCAGGAAGTGGTTAAGTGTGCCTCAATGTTAACAGTGCCAATCTTCAGGGATATCAGCCTCAGGAAGGTTAAGTCATGTGACTTGGGATGACATCTGTTATATCGAGGTGTAACAAACATTGACATTTCTAGATAAACATGCATTATTGTTGATTGGATGTGGTGATGTATGCTAAATATAAGAAGGGGAGACATTTAAATATGTGTTTAAACTTTCCCTGAGTTATTGAGAATCAGTAAATTTGGTTGAAAATTAAGTGGTCTCATTACAACTTCAACTGTCCTAATTATGTGTGAGTGAAGACATTTGGAAGGATTGGCAAGTTTTTTAGTGGCAGCTAGTTAGATGGATATCAGTACTGTCAAAATTCAAGAGTTTAGAATTTCGACTCCGTCTAATATTCAGTAATGGGTCAACCTGTCTTTGCATATGCAAATTTGGAAATAATTGTTCGTATTGATGTGTTTCAGGTGGGAAGGATTAAGCAAGGAGAAACAGTGCTTGTGACAGGTTGGTTACTATGTATTCACATCTGTCTTAAATCATTACTTCAATACGATGTGTTAATTGTTTGGCCTAAAAGTTTAACATCTTTCACAGTCTTCTCCAGGGAGAAGGAAGAACCTTGCTGCTTCATTGCACAAATCAGTCCATCATCATAAAACAGTACACTGTCAATTATCTAAATCCTGTTGAGTTTAATGTTGATGATGTGTAATAAATGCCAAGATTCTTGCCATTAAGGACAGTTATATGCTTAATGGTTGCTCTTCTACATGCAACTTTGTAATCATGAGGCATAAAATGCAAATGGGAAGATTGGAATAAGGAGAGGGGTCCCTGTTTCATCTTGGGATGTTTCTTCTTTCTTTCAGCTGCTGCTGGAGGTACCGGGCAGTTTGCGGTGAGTATCATTATGTCCTGATTCAAACTAATTCTGGATAAATTGCTTAGATATGTTCAGCAAAGAGCTTTATTTCTGGGCTCAATTTTACAGCACTGCATAACACATGCTAAAGGAGGCTCCACGCATTTCATGGAGACTGTAAGCAATAAGAACAGCCAATAGCTTGCTAACCTTGGAGGAAAAATTTGTTTTAACTTAGAAATGTAACAATAGAAATCTCTGTGCATGCACAACCTTTAGCACAATCATGCAAAACACCGCCATGAAATAGTGTTTAAGGTGAGCAATCTTTTCTGCTAAGTTAGCATGATTTTTCTGCTAACTGTAAAGCAGGTCCATGAAATTAGACTCAGATTATGCCATCACTTGCATTGAAAGACTATGTTGTTAATTTCCCAAAATAATTATCTTGTTGCCGAGCTGGGATTACAGGTTTTGCTCTCTTTTTCTGTCCACCTGCTACAGGTTCAGTTTGCTAAACAAGCTGGATGCCATGTGATAGGAACATGCTCATCGGATGCCAAAGCTGAATTCCTGAAGGTGGCTGGTCATTTGTTTCTTAATTTTTGTAAGGGTGGAAAGACCGCTTCCAATGCAAGTGGAAGTTACATTATGTGATGGATAAATCATTGTGAAGATTTAAGAGTTTTTTTTTCAGTTTTAAGAGTTTACTGTCTTGCTAATAACAGCCTAAACCTTTTTTCCTGGCAGTACGCTTTCCTTGATAGTTTCTAAGGAAAAAATCTTTTCCCTTTCTTCTTATAGAGTCTTGGCTGTGACAGGCCTATCAATTACAAGTCAGAAAACTTGGCAGATGTTCTGAAGAAAGAATACCCAGTAAGTGTAGAGCTGTCTGCTTTGATCTTTGTTTTTCCTGTTGTGTTCTTTTCTTACTGGTGGATTTTTTTGATGGTTGGTTTTCTTGAAATCAGTTTAGCCATTGTCTGCTTGTGTAGCTGGAAGATTTTGAGAATCTTGACTTGTTTCTAATGTGTCACTTTGCTTTCATTTCAGACAGGGGTTGATGTAGTCTATGAGTGTGTTGGTGGAGATATATTTCATACTTGCCTTCGCAGGTAACGACTCTAACGTTTGCGGATTTATTTCATGAGTGAAACCCAGACATTCCTGTCTTCAAAGCATGAAGCAGCTTAGGCAGGTTAAAATTAAGAACTCTGAATAATAGAAGCCTCATGAGAAAATGTTGAAATTAGACTTCATGTGTTTTGGTGTGGATAGTCAATATGGGTCATATGTAATTACATATTACATTGTGCACTGCCAGAATATTTACAGAAGCGACAAGAGAGGTTTCAGCTGTGTCCCCAATGGATAGGGTCTATGTTGTTTGTAATTATTTATGTCTAGTTTGGCGCCAAAAGGACGTCTTATCACCATTGGCTTTATCTCTGGATACAAGGAAGACGCCATTGCAGCACCAACAATTCATCCAAAAGAAGTGCTTGGGGTAAGGGTTTTGTATTACATTGTATTTAAATGTTGTGCCAAATTTATGTGAATTGATAGAGCAAATTTTGTGTGATCAGGAGTACATGTACATGATTGGGCTTCATTTTGAAAATGTTCTGCTTGTCTTAAAGCTCCTATCGAAGTCGGCCAGCATAAGTGGTTTCTTCCTATTTACATACACTGACCAATGGCGGGCATCGTTCATCAGACAAGCTGATCTCTTTGCCAAGGGGTCACTCAAAGTAGGAGTTGATCTTGGTACGAACAGCGACAAAGGACCCTTCAAGGGAGTAGAGGGAATTATGGATGCCATTGATGTAAGTGAGATTGATTGCTCAGTCTTGTTTATGATAGAATTGCTGTCATAATGCAGTTTTACTGATTGTGATTTCAAGATTGTTTCTGGTTTTTAGACTTTTCCAATGTGAATTCTAAAGTCAAATATCCTCTTGAATTTTTCTCATTTCTTTTTTTTATTTCTTGCAGTATCTGTATAGTGGCAAAAATAAGGGCAAGGTTGTCGTGGAGATGAATGATCCCCTTCCAGCTGCTGGACTGTAATTGGACATTCACTGAAATCAAAGGCTTCCAATTGGTCAATCTCTAACACTAAAAGGCTGTGATTGGCTAGTCAGAGAAATTCAAGACTTTCAATAGGTCAGTCTCAAGCGCTGAAGCATTTTGATTGGCTAGTCAAGGAAATTGAAGTTTTTCAATGCTTAGGTCAGGTAGCACTATTGATGATTGGTTAGTTAGTGAAATTATATACGGACTTCTAATGGACCAATTGTGCCCAATCAGTCACTTGACCTAGATTGGGTATCAAACATCAACAAACATGTTATCATTCCATAGTTACGTGTCACATGAGTGTCATTTACAAAAAATAAGCAGATGATCTGTAAAGTACTCGGACTACTGATGTGCTGAGTGCTATTCCGAAACTCGGCTTTATTGTTAGTAAACAACACTTAAAACACACTTTACTAAGGAAGGACACCATATTTGTTGATGTTTCACGCCTACAATAGGTCATGTGACGTAGTAGGCACAATCAACCTGTTGGTTGGGGTTAATACATCTGAAGATGACTGATCAACTGACGGTATAGAAATTGTGTCAATTGAAGGGATTCAGAGACAATGGAAAATTACTGAAATTTTTTAAATGTCAAGTCAGTTGGAATAAGAGGTTTGAAAATTTGATCAGAGTAGGAAATAGGAAATGTATCAGCTATTTTTTTATCAAAGGAAGTGTGAAAATTGGTTTGTTGCTACATACAAGTCATATCTCGTTTTAATGTATATGTAGTAAAATTTGAAATTTTTTACTTTCAGTGGTTTTAAAAAGATAGATATTTTGATTGAGTACATGTAGAATTTAAACAGTTCATGAGAACAGCGTTATTTCTTGTGCACATGTTGAAGGCAATACAAGTGAACAATGATGAATGCAACCTTAACATTTTGCAGAGTGTAAAAGCAACTCATCTGAACCATATTTCTGATGCAGAAACATTATGGATCACATCAAACAAAAGACACTTTTTCCCACAATGCACTGTAGTAAGCGTTATGTTTTAGGTCTATTGAAACTATCAGAAAGTGATTAAACTACATCCACACGGATAACGGTGGCAGGTTCCAAAAAAAAAATAACATGTACAAACCCCGGCCCCCAAATTCCTCAAAATCTCCACTTTTTTATGGATTATGAACTTGGTCCAGGAAGCCTGAAGCACTGCAGGCCCATGTTGTCATGGAAGCAGTACTAAAAAGTTATGAAAAGTAAGCCATGTGTAATACATGTACACCCATCAACAAAGACCATCATGCTAGTGGTGGACTTTATGTAAGAAATGTGGATTGCACAGGGAGTGTTGGATTTTGATGGATTTGATCCAGTGACTAGTAAAAGACAGTAGTTAACTGGAAAGTAAAAAACCATTTAACACACGGGCGCAATGAAAGTTTCTCCCTTTCAATGAACAATTTTATTGCCACTTCACACAACAAGAGTTATTTTCAAGAATTCAGGGAGCTCTAAAGTATATGCAGTAGGAGATTTAATTGTGTGTAGTTCTCGATGGTTCACTGAAATTACCAGACAAAAATGAGCTATTCCGAATAGTGTCCAAACAATTGGAAATCATCCTAAAATGGTGACTAAATGCCCAGTTTATATATCAACTGGTTTGCAAAGTCCAATGTTGGCTCATTCCCACTTGAAGTGTATGTAGATGACACATGGTGGACAGATGCTGGCATGCTCATGATGGCCCAGGATGAGAAGTGATTTAGCCATCGCTGACTGCTCTCCACATGGTGGGGTAATCTAGGTGGTGTGGTCTCGGCTGCTGCCTTCCGTGTGTCTAGTGACCCTGTCTCCTTGTATAGCCGGCAATTGCAGTACATCTTAGTGAGTGGCATCTTCTCATATTGTCCATTTGAAAGGAGAATCTTTATGTATACAGCCTTGTTGCCCGAGGGCTTAGAAATTCAGCTTGGTACGTCTCCAATGGCGCCTCTTAGCGTTGTATCTGTAGAAGGAAAAAAACATTAGAACGATGTGACTGCACCCCTGCATGTTACATGTACATGTACATGTAACAGAAGTACTGAATCCTACTAAATGCAAAGGCATCCATGAACCCTTCAATGTGATCCTTACAATGGCAGAGAATGAGATTTTAATTTATAAAACAAGTGTTCCAGGAGAGTTTTTCTGTACAGCATCCTTAACTCTTGATGCGTCTTCTGTAGCAAGTGACAATGTGCATTTTGAACGTTTTACATTCAAACCAAACCAAGTTTCCCATGGTTTATGCTTTAGTGCATCACATTTGCCATGTTTCCACGGATAGGATTAAAACACTGATTTTTATAAGACTGCAACAAGTGTAATCAGTAGCCTTGGGCTTCTGTGATACTTGGTAGTACCGTAAGACATCTAAGGCTGAGTCAATTGGAATAATTCACTATTTGAATGTTCGACCTTGAATTTGATCGAATATCCGAATATTCGGTTGCACGGATCGGCAAACTGTTAATGAACAAACCATATACAAAGTTAGTTTCAATACCACACAAATTTGTACATTATGATTTATATGATAGCTTCTCCCATCTAGGAGTACATCCAGCCACAATTTAGCAAGATTTAAAGAGATGAACAAGACTTATAGCCCTGTCGAAAATTACGATTCCTTTTAAATTGTTCACATTTAAAGCAAAAGAAAACTTTCCCTTTTCATGAATTTTGCACTCGAATATTCTAATATGAAAAATAATATTTGAATATTCGACAATCGATTGAATATTCAGTTATTCGGATATTCGGCACAGCCTTTAAGACATCTTGTTACCTGATTTTATTGCCAGTCCTCATGCGTACCCATTGTGGAATGGGACGATTCTGCTTCTGTTTCTTGGCAAGCTTCTGCTTGATCTTGAATGTCTTGTGAGCCGGCTGTTAAGACAAAAGTTACTGGAGTTCAGTTGTTAGTTAATAACTTTACATCAGGATTATTTTGGTAATTACTAATACTTTTGGGGAAGAAAGGCAAGAAATACTGGCAAAATACTAAAAGGAAGTCACTAACCATTACAACAAAATCCAGGTTTCTAGGGTGTCGTCGTGGCTTTATTTTTGCAACACTTAAACTTTCAGAATATGACAGCATGTAACTGACATGCCTGAACAATCATGACAGTTGCCAATAGGCCCCCCCGCCACGTTCAACCATGCTAGAGAAGTAGAGTTCAACTTCAACATGCTAATTACAAAAAACCCAGTGCATAGCCCATTTAGATTTAGGCTCATATTAGCCTTACAGTTCAGTCCAAATCCTCCTATTTCAATATGATTTTACATCCTACCTTCACCTTCTGACCCTCCCTTGGCAGCTTGCTAGGCATTGCTACAAAAACTGCAACTACTTTCTAGGCCCTAGGCTAGGCGGTTAGTCCAACGTTATACCTTTGATTAGGTATAATATGCTCTGTAGTTTTTACAGACGTAAATTCCAAGATATCCAGCATTGGACACGCTCAACGCAAGTGACTGACATACTACATAGGCTAAATAGGCACCATTTAACTTCACAAGTGTACAGCACAATCAAGCATGGTGAACTAAACATGCTAAATCGAATGTTATCGTGTACGTGTACGAGGCCGTGTATGATGTAGACGATTAGAAGCCGCTGCAATCACACTTACTCGCAGCAATCAATTCGAAATTTTACATTCAATCAATCCTGAAAAATCTCCCAAATAAATAACCGCTTATATTTGTCGATGATACTTGTTATTATAGAGGATAATTTGCAATAATTTATCACCATTTTTGAGTAGTCAGTGAACCAGATAAGCCAGCAAGAGGGAAAGGACTATTTAGAGCGCCCTCTATAACGTGATAGTTGAGGGCGCTATGATTTCATGAAACCACTGATATCTCTAGTTATGCCATAATCAGGAGGCATTCGAGAAATATTTCTATGAATCCCGAAATTGGGACTGAAGTTTCCGATTCGGAGTATTTCTTTCACAAAAAGACCCAAATTGCGGGCCTATTTTGGATAGAGGCGGGCGGCTACATTCAGAAATGAGCCTTAGTTTTGGGGGCATCTTCCTTCAAAGGCGAATAAAAAAAAATTTCGTGGCTAACTCCCATGGACTTGAAACGAAAAGTGATCTTCTGGCTATATTCTTGAACTTCCAGTAAGAAAACGGAGGCCAACCTCTTCACGAGAATCAACAGGCGGCGCTATTTCGGTCCGATTTTGCACTGTTTTCGGGCGCGTATTTGGTGTAGTGCAATCCTACCGTGGGACCGCTCCATTTTTTAAATGGGGAGTGCCATTCACCAATTTTAAAAATGACATTCTATGAGCTCTGGTAAATTAAAAAAATAGTAAATGATGATTATCTATTAAAGTTGAACCAATGAGAGAGGAAACTCCTATCTAATAACCATAAAAAATGTCGCTTTTGCAGCTTTGGAAAGATTATAAATTTACCTTCCCGAAAATTTCAATTCATCCGTAAAGCTAGAAAATCAAAAAGTAATTGTCCTTTTAAAATAGATTTGACTAAATTTAAACTTTAAGGGAAAGAAAACTTCTTATTTTTTCAAAGGGTTTCCAAATAGTCCCTATATGATATAGTCTAATTATTTGAATATGAGTCCCGTCACATTTCTTTCCTGTTTAGGTTTGTTTTTCATGGCGGATGTGTGGTTGACATGTGTTGCTATAATCAAAAGTTGAGTGGCGCTATAACCAAAATGTCTTCCAGTTGTGGATGCTGTGTTCCGCGCCTAAACTTTGTTGCGTTTCAGTCTCAGCCCTGTAATGCTCGCTAGTTTAACGTTATACCATTTTCCGAAATGCATAGACATCGAAGTTTTGCATTCGATGGTTCCAGCCAAAAGATTGTGGGTTACTGTGAAAAGTAAGGATAAGTTAGAAGTTCACATCTGGAGTTTGTTTTTGGGGCCGCCTAGGACTCGGGACCACGGTGAGCTGCTGTATGGTACATGTACGTCGTGCATGACTCGCGGATACTGCAGCACACAGAAAGTGTCTACAGCCGTAAAGGGGGTACCAAAATGAATGGAGGTAACAAGCAAGACTTTATATTTGATTTTGACCTGGTGAGTATGGGGATAACATTTTGAATTAAATTTTAAAAATAAATATAGAGAAAAAATGTTTCATTCTGACTGCCCATTCTCATGCATCATAGGCCCCCATCATCTCAATACAAGTCAGTCATATTACAGAAATGCTGGAAAGACACGGATTCTGGACTGAGAAACATTTTCCGATGTTGTTGGGAAATACTTAGAAAATTCTCTTCACTCCCCATAGCCTTTGTACACAACTGCTGAAATGGAGTCAGGATGCAACATTTTTTCCTTATTTTGTAATAATTCGTGACTTGTCCGAGGCAGATACCAGCATGAATACTGCACTTGGAATTTATTCATACTTCATTGGAATTGGACTGTGTGAAATGAATGTTGACTCGTCCTTACGTTAACCCGAGAATTATGGGGTTAATTAGTATGACGGGCATGACAAACCTCGTACTCCTTGACCATAGTTCTAGGGGTAAGACTTGGTATGTTAGACTTGAACACTTAACATTTGTAATTTGCTTGGTAGGCCTAATGATTTTTGACATTTTTGACTTCGACCATGTCAACAATAGTCAAGTGGTACATGTAGGCCTAGTATGAAATTCAAAGGCAGTTATGGTCATACTCATAGGCCTATGGCTCATTCTGGCAAAGTTTACATTAGGGAGTAGTGGTGACAAGGCGAAGTGGGAATACCTAGAGTGAAATGGCGATGTGGTTAGAGGCGAAGTGGTCAGGGCTAAGTGGAAGTGGGGCGAAGTGGCTGCAAAGCCGTCTGTGCTATTGTGCTTGCATTGTCATGATTATAATTGTGACTTGATGTTGATATGGAGGGAGAGCTGTTCCTGTATGATGAGCATAATGTGCTCCTGTACAAGTTTCATTGTTATTGAATTTACATGTACATGTACATACATGTACAAGAAGTGTGCGCTGTGATGGGGCGCTTTACAAGCACTGTGTTCTCAAGACGACATTTCCATCTTTTTCCTTGGGGAATTTTAAAGAAATTGCTAAGAAAAAGAATGCTGGATAAAATTTACTTCATTTTGCTATGCATGCTTCAGTGGTATCATAACTACATACATGTACATGGGGTTTTTAGGCTTTACAACGTGTTTTGTAACAAGTGCCTTTTTCTGTTAACGAGTGTTTCTTTATTCACAAGTGCCTGTATTGTCCATTATCTGATGTTGGGCAAACTTAAGAATTTTTGTGGGCATCTACATGTATTGTGAAAAGCAATGCCGTGAAAAAGACGGTTGTGTTCAGTTTAAAAGTGTAATGATCGCAGAATGTTGAATGCAATCCTGAAATAGCATCTGAAGGTTGCTAAACCTTGGTGTCACCTGACCTGAAGCCGTGGAGTTCCTAATCAAATTGTTGAATCAGATCACTGAATGCAAGCTGTTGGTGTTTTGAAATCCA